GATCACCGCTTTCGAAGTGGCTAGGGTTGCTCAGGGATTGTAACTAATCAGCTTTATTTAGTCCTTGTCCTGTAGCCAGTGTCCTGCGAGTCTCCCGAATTCCGTCTGCAGACATATGTAACCCTCGCTCCGTCATCGCCCCCCTTATAAAGTGTCCTAAACTATTTGCGCCCCGCGTTTGCGCAGGGGTTGGGTACGTCGCCAGGGTATTTTTTTTAGCTGTATGGATCCCTATAGATATCCTCCCACAGCTGCGTAGATCCCGATAGGGATCCTATGGCAGCTGGTAGGACTCCTGTACGTTCCTTATTGCAGTTTTTTTTTTTCTTTTTTTTTTTTGTTTGGTTTTTTTTTTTTTTGGGATTTTTGTGGGTTTTTTTTTAATTTTAATTTTTTTTTTTTTTTTTGTTGGGTTTTTGGTTTTTTTTTTTTTTTTGTTTTTTTTTTTTTTTTTGGTTTTTTTTTTTTTTTTTTTGTTTTTTTTTTTTTTTTTTTTGGTTTTTTTTTGGTTGATGGTTTTTTTTTTTTTTTTTTTTTTTTTTTTTTTTTTTGGTTTGGTTTTTTTTTTTTTTTGTTTTTTGGTTTTTAATTTATTTGCAGCTGGTAGGATCCCTAGAAGGATCTGATTGCGGCTGGTAGGATCCCTAAATGGTGTCCAGTTGCGGCTGGTAGCAGTTGGTCGGATCTTTATAAGGATCTTCTTCCAGATGGTAGGATTCTCATAGGGATCACTAAAGGAATTCTACTGCAGCAGTTGGGAGGATCCCTGTACGGATCTTCGTGCAGTTTGCCGTATGTCTATGGGGACCTACGACAGCTGGTAGGGTCCCTATAAAGAATCGGAAGCAGATGGAAGGATCCCTATACGGATCCCGTTGCAGCTGGTGGGATCCCTATATTGATTCTATGACAGCTGGCCGGATCCCTGTAGTGACCCTATTGCAGCAGGTGGGAGGATCCTATAAGGATCTGATTGCAGCTGGACCCCTTACGGGGATCCTACGACAGCTGGTAGGATCCCTGCAGGGATCTAAGTGCAGCTGGTAGGATCCGCATAAGGGATAGTATTGCAGCTGGTAGGATCCCTACAGGGCTCCTATGACAGCTGGTAGGATTCTCATATGGGTTCCAATTGCAGCTGGTCGGGTCCCTGTAGGGATCCTATTGCAGCTGGCAGGATCCATGTAGGGGTCCCAATGCAGCTGGGAGGATCTGTAGGGATCTTCGTTGCAGCTGGTCGGATCCCCGTGAGGATCCTATGACAGCTGGTAGGATCCTAGTAGGGATCTTGTTGCAACTGGTAGGATCCTCATACGGATCTTATTGCAGCTGGTAGGATCCGTGTAGGGATCTTATGACACCTGGTAGGATCCCTGTATGGGGTCCAAGTGCAGGTGGTAGGGTCCCCGTAGGGATCCGTTTGCACCTGGCAGGATCCCTATACAGATCTTGCAGCTGGTAAGATCTGTATGAGGATTCGAGTGCAGCTGGTAGGATCCCTGCAGGGACCTATGACAGCTGGTAGGATGTCTGTAGGGATCCCAATGCAGCTGGTAGGATCCCTATAATGATCTTACTGCAGCTGGCAGGATCCCTATAAGGATCCCGTGGCAGCTGAAAGGATTATATATATATGGGATCCGATTACAGCTGGTCGGACCCCTGTGGGGATCTCCTTGCGGCTGGTAGGATCCTCAGACGGATCTTCTTGCAGTTGGTAGGATCCCTATAGGGATCTTATTACAGCTGGTAGGGTTGAGGAAGAGGATCCTTATAGGGTGTTGTAGGATCCTCGTAGGGTTTCTGTAGGATCCTTTTGGAGTTCCTGTTGGATCTTTACAGGCTTTCTGTAGGGTCCATGTAGGGCTTCTATAAGATCCCTGAAGGAGTTCTTCAGGATCCGTGTAGTGCTTCTGCAGGAGTCGTAAAGGGCGTATCGACTTCCTCGCTTCTCTAAAGTGCACACGTAAGTCACCACTCCGATGCTGCACAAGAGTACTGAGGGATTCCTCAGTTTGTTTGATTCATTCCCGACTTTGTTGTTGTTGTTGTTGTTGTTGTTGTTGTTGTTGTTGATGTTGAACATTATTTATTCTAAAGAATAATTATTGTTGGGCCCCCTGGTGCGCGCCCCCCCTGCGCCGCCTAGGCCGCAGCTACATTTTCATCATTTTCGTGAGGAAGCCTCAGAAAAGAGGGTGTGTACAGGATCCGGTTGTTTTGTTGTAATCCGCTTTCCCTTGCAAACAACAATAGAAAATGACATTTCTTGTTCTAATATAATCAAATTTCAAGAATCCCTTGCAAAAAATAAGGTAAGTGGACATTCGCGCGCGCAAGACGAAATCCTTCCAAAAGCTTAGTGTTCGGAGCGATTTTAACATAAAAACATCAAAAAACCAATGGTTTTTCAACAAAAAAATGTCAAAATCTCATCCCGCGCGCTCTTGCGGATTCGTAGGAAAACCAACACTTTTTCAACATTTCTGTCAAACGGGCTTTTGCGAGCAACTTTTTCGAACTTCTGCGACAACGGTTGCGCACCTGCCAGGGCCATCATCCCTGTCAAATAATACCATGCGGGTCACATTCGTTTTTTCTTCGCGCGCGCACGCCGTCGTCGTCGGCCGCGGGGCCCTGAATAGTAGCCACGGTCCTCCGCATGCCACGAAGTGAAGTGTCCGAACGTCATAGGGCGGGAAGCTGGGTGTGGGTGGTGGCGAAGAGTCGTTTGGAAATTTGGTAGAGCTTGAACCGGCCCCCCCACAAAGTGGGGGTATTGCCCGCCTCCGATGAAAACCCTGGCACTGGTGAGAACGGAGTGTCCCCACGTGCTAGTAATTGTGTTGTTGTTGTTGCTGTTGGTGCTGGTGTTGGTGTTGGTATTGGTGTTGTTGTTGTTGTTTGAATATTATTACTTCAAAGAATGAATATTGTTGGGCCCCCTGTGCCGCCCCCCTCGCCGCGCCTGAGGCCCGCAGCCACATTTTCATCATTTTCGTGAGGAAGTCCCTCAGGCAAAACGGGGAGTCCGGATCCGGTTGTTTTGTTGACGCCCGTTTTTCCCTGTCACAAAAAACAAAAAAAACAAAAATGACATGTTTTTGTTTCTTGACATAACCAAACTTCAAGAATCCTTTGCAAAAAAATGTCACGAAAAGTGCACACTCGCGCGCGCAAGATGAAATCCTTCCAAGACCTTAAGTTTTCGTATGCGATTTAACATAAAAACATGAAAAACCCCCTAATGGTTTTTTCAAAAAAAAAATGTCAACATTACATCCCGCGCGCTCTTGCGGATTCGTAGGAAACCCAACACTTTTTAATCATTTCTGTCAAACGGGCTTTTGCGAGCAACTTTTTCGAACTTCTGCAACAACGGTTGCGCACCTGCCAGGGCCATCATCCCTGTCAAATAATACCATGCGGGACACATTCTTTTTTTCTTCGCGCTCGCACGCCGTCGTCGTCGGCCGCGGGGCCCTGAATAGTAGCCACGGTCGTCCGCATGCCACGAAGTGAAGTGTCCGAACGTCATAGGGCGGGAAGCTGGGTGTGGGTGGTGGCGAAGAGTCGTTTGGAAATTTGGTAGAGCTTGAACCGGCCCCCCCACAAAGTGGGGGTATGGCCCGCCTCCTATGAAAACCCTGGCACTGGTGAGAACGGAGTGTCCCCACGTGCTAGTAATTGTTGTTGTTGTTGTTGTTGTTGTTGTTGCTGTTGTTGTTGTTGCTGTTGTTGTTGTAGTTGTTGTTGTTGTTGTTGTCGTTGGTGGTGGTGGTGGTGGTGGTGGTGTTGCTGTTGTTGTTTGGGGGGGGCCCTGGGGCCCGGGGACGACTCATGCCCCCCCTTTTGGAGGAGGGTTCTGGAGGAGCCCGAGCGCTGGGGCCCAGGGCAAGTCCCTGTCCTTGTCGTTGCCGTTGTCTTTGTCGTCGTTGTTGCTGTTGTTGTCGTTGTTGAGGTTGTTGTTGCTCTTGTTGTTTTTGTTGTTGTTGTTGTTGTTGGAGCTTTCACTTCAAAATAATAATTGTTGTTGATGCCCCCTGCCCGTTAACCATTGCACTTTTTGACTGAAGCGCTTCTCCTGGGCCTCCCACCTTGATAAAACAAGGGAAAGTGCGGTGTCACCAAACTGTACCCCTGGCCCACGGTTTACAACAACAGCGGCTCCCGCCTGAGACTTCTTTACACACATTACAGGAATCGCACTCTCGCGTGGTACTTCCTCGCGATTTTTTCAGACGCTGCGCTCTCGACGCTCAGGAATCACGCTCTCGCTGTCGCGATTTACTCGGGAATCGCGCTATCGCTCGAGACTTCCTCGCAATTCATGCAGGATGAACGCTTCAGCAACTCGCCTGCCCCGTGTCGTTTCAATCCATCCGTCCTCTCTTCCCCTGCCTTAAGTGGCTGCACGAAATACACGTTTCAAGTAAGAAAGTTCGACACTTAAGGGGGTACGATAGAAGACGCAGAGGGCTGGTATCGAAGGTTTGGGAAATACGTGTTGAATGACACGCGAGCAGTTCAGAGCGAACAGTCTGACAATGGTTGTGTTTGTTGTCGATGTTGTGTTGTCGTCGTCGTCGTTGTCGTTGTCGTTGTCGTTGTTGTTGTTGTATCGTTGTGGTTCGTTCCTGTTTCGCTTTCGTTTGGCACCAGTTCCGTTCTAAACGTTCGGTTTCGTTTCGTGTTTCGTTCTAAATGCCAACGCGTTTTCAAAATCGTTGTCATCTGTCGTTGGATGAAGGCGTGGACGGGGAGTACGGTCCCCCCTCCGCCCATCCCCCCTCCACAGCGCAGCGGCTGAAATCCAGCAGGCAGGGACTCAAACACCCTCGTCGGCAGACGCGAACCTCCAGGTTTGGGGTTGGGTCGGGTCGGCCAACCCTGAGCCTTTCTCCGGGTGCGTGGTGGCCATCCTCCCTGCCCTCCCCCACCTCCCCCGTCCCGCACCTCTTCCCCCCAGCCCTCGCCCCCCGCCTTCCCCAGCGGCGCAGGCCAACCGAACCTTCGCCAACAACTCCCAGGCGCCCCGCGTCTCGCGGGCAGATTCTGGCAGGGGCGTTCCTCCTCCGCGGTCTTCCGCAGAGGTTCTCGCCCTTTTGTGGAGTGCCTCGCGCTCCTTTACCGCACTTTTCCTCCGCATCCTCCCTCCTCCTTCCCTCCTCCTTCCCCTCCTCCTCCTCCTCCTCCTCCTCCACCTCCTCATTGCAACCCGATTCATTATTTTCCGGCGAGTTCTTGCTTCTCCTTCGGACTCTCCTCTCCCCCCTATCCTCCTGGCCTTTCTTCTTCTCCAATTCCCACCCTCCGCATTCATCCTCCTGCTGCATGTGGCTGCATGGTGCGGCGGGTGTGGGGATGGTGGTGAGGATGAGGATGAATATGACGAGTTGGCGCACAGTTGGATGGAGGGGGGAGAAGAAGAGACGGGGGTAACAGAGGCGGGTGACGAGTTGGAGGACCTCCGTGTCCATGTCCCCCGCTGCTCTCGTTTCCCCATCTATCTAGCCTAGCCCCCCTTTTTCGTGGAGCTAGTTTCTTCATCCTTAGGTCATAACGACCGATCGGGGGGGGGAGGGGGGTCCTGGTAACGTTTCGATTTGCGCCCGCGGGGTATGGGAGGAGGCGCCGGGTCACGTCAAGACGGACAGCAGCTTGAGACGACGTCGACAACGACGATGACGATGGCGGACGCCGGACGGCGGACGACGGACGACGGACGACCGACGACCGACGACCGACGACCGACGACCGACGACCGACGACCGACGGCCGACGCCCGACGCCCGACGACCGACAGCCAACGACGACCGACGACGACTGGATGCTTCTGGAAGCCACTGGAGGTGCACACAGCCAGTGTGTACGCCGCTGCTGTGGTGTACTCAGGCACTGAGGAGTTGTGGTGCGCATCTGCTGCTGCAGCAGCAACTGTGGTGTACACATGCATTTCGTACAGCTGCGCTGTGGTGTACACAAACGCTGTGGTGCACACGGTTGCCGTGGTGTAAAAATGCATCGTGGTGTACACAGGTGTTGTGGTGTGCACCGATGCTGCTGCAGCATCGGTGGTGCACACAGGCACGGTGGTGTGCGCTATCACAGTGTTGTGCTCAGGCCATCATCCACAGGCCTTGTGATATACACACTTGCCTTGGTGTATACAGGCGTTGAGGGGCACACAGATGCTATTGCTGCAGCATATGGCGTACGCACGCACTGTTGTGTACACTGTGAACGCAGGCGCTGAGGTGTGCAAGGCACAGGTGCAGGAAAAACAGTAGTCAGAAATAACTCATATTGAATATGATACGTTCGAGCCCTCTGCGATTTTCGAGAGTTTGGCCGCGTCTGGACCCTGGACACAGGCGTTGTGGTACGTATACACATGCACGGTGGTGTACAGGGGACGAGCTACACACGCACATGGTGCTGTAACAGCATCTCTGGTACACATGGGCGATATGATGTGCACAGACTTTGGTGTACGAATTCGCTGTGTTAAGCACGGTTGCCGTGGTATATATACATATATATATATATATATATATGTATGCATTGTCGTTGTTGCAGCAGCTGTTGTGTACAAACGCATGTGTGGTGCACGGAGGCGCTGTCGTGCACACACACTCACTGTGGTGTACACAGGCCTTGTGGTGCACAAGGACACTCTGGTGTGCACCAGCAGTGTTGTTGCACACATGCCCTGTGGTGTACGCAGGCGTTGTGGTGTACGCTGGCACTGGTGTACACAGGTATTGTGGCGTACATATTGTGCCGTACGCAGGCATTGAAGGGCACACAGCAATTTCAGTTCACAACCGCCCACTGGTGTACACAGTCACTTTGGTATCGACATGCGCTGTGTTGCGCGTAGGCATTGCGGCGTACACGGGCATTGTAGTATACCCCTGCGGTTTCTCCGCGAACATATTGTGGCACGCGCAGACGCTACGTCGACTGTTCACGGCTCCTCGCAGCAAGCCCCTACTTTGTGCCTCGCTAGCTTTGGCAAATTCGTACCCACATGCGTCTCCTCTCCCCCTGCCTCTGGCGCAGTAAAGAGCCAGGACTGTTGTCTATTCACTTGCGCGTTGCGGTGTGCCCCAGGGGGGGCCAGCACATCCTCAGTGAGCCAGCGCTTTGCCTTCGCCGCCGCTTTTGGAGACCAAGCTGCCCCGCACCTCTTCCTCTGTTCGTTTTCCTACTCTCCCGCGTAGTCGTCGTCGTTGTCCTCCTGGTCTTGGCCTCGTCGCCCTCGAAACGCGCATAAACATCGGTCGCGGTGGCAGCCCGCGAGGTTTGTTCCCAACCATCTTGTGGCACTGGTCCTCGTCACTTCTCCTCCTCGCCCCTCCTCCCACCCGCTGCCCCCTCCTTCCCAGCAATCCCCCAGCACGACCTCCCAGTATAACCCCCCACCACAACCCCCCAGCGCATACCCCCCCAGCACAACTCCCAGCAGAACCCCCCAGCACTACCCCCCAGCACGACACCCCCAGCACAACACCACATCTCAATTCCCCCAGCACAACCCCACCGCGCAACCGCCCAGCTCCCCCCCCAGCACAACGCCCAAGCACACCCCCCAGGCACAACCTCCCAGCACAACCCCCCAGCATAACCCCAAGCACCCCCCCCCCCAGCACAACCCCCCAGCACACACACCCAGCACAACCCCCCTCAGCACAACCACCCAGCACAACCGTCAGCATAACCCCGCAGCAGAACCCCCCTGCGAAAACACCCAGCACGATTCCCCATGACAACACCCCATCACAACCACTAGCACAATCCCCCAGCAACCCCCTCCAGCCCCCCCCCCGGCACAGCCCACCAGCACACTCCCCCAGGGACAACCCCCCAGCACAACCATCCAGCATGACACACCCAGCACAACACCCCAGCACAACCCACCAGCACAACCTCCCCAGCACAACCCCCCAGCCCAACCCCCCGAACAAAACCACCAGCCCCCCCCCAGCACAACCCCGCGGCACAACCCCCCAGCACAAAACTCACCGCAAAACCCCCCAGCACAGCCCCCCAACACAACCATCCAGCACGACCTCCCAGCACAATCCCCCAGCACCCCCCCCCAGCACAACCCCCCCGCGGTAACCCCTCACCACAAACCCCCCAGCACAACCCCCAGCACAACCCCCAGCACAAACCCCCAGCACAACCTCCCAGCACAACCCACTTACACAATCCCCCAGCACAACCTCACGACACAAACCTACCGCACAACCCCCCAGCATAATCCGCCAACACAACCCTCAGCACAACCCCCCAGCACAACCCCCCAGCTGCAGCACAACCCCCAGCCACAACTTCCAGCACAACCCCCCAGCACAGCCCCGCACAACATCCCCAGCACAACCCCAGCACACCCCCCACAACCCCAGCACAACCCCCCAACACAACCCCCAAGCAACCTCCCCAGCACAACCTACCCTCCAGCACAACCCACCAGCACAACCCCGCAGCACAACACACACCCCCCCAGCACAACCCCCCAACACAACCCCCGGCACAACCCCCCAGCACAGCCCCTAGCGCAACCCCCCCAGTAACCCCCCCAGCACAACCCCCGAGCACAACCCCGCAGCACAACCCCCATCAAAACCCCTCAGCACAACCCCCCAGAACAACCTCCCAGCTGAGTCCCCCAACACAACCCCCCAACACAGTTCCAACAAGCACAACTCCTCCCAGCACAACCCCCAGCACAACCCCCCCAGCACAACCCCCCAAGCAACCTCCCCCAGCAACAACCCGCTGGACAACTCCCAGCACCACCCCCCAGGCACAACGCCCCAGCACGACCCCCCAGCACAGCCACACAGCACAACCCTCCACACAAACCCCCAGCACAACCTCAGCACAAGTCCTCAGCACACAACCCCCCCCCAGCACCCCCCCCCAGCACAACCCCCCCAGCACAACCCCTCAGCACAACCCCCCTGCACCCCCTTCACCCCCACAATCCCCCCCGCACAACCGCTCAGCACGACCCCCCGTCACAACCCCCTAGCACAACCCCCGGACAACCCCCAGCGCAACCCTCCAGCACAACCCCCAGCACATCCCCCAGCAGTCTTCTCCAGCATAACCCCCTAGCACAGCCCCCCAGCATAACCCACCAACACAACGCCCCAGCACAACCACCCAGCGCCCCCCCCCCCAGCTCGACCCCCTGGCACGCCCAGCACAGCCACCCAGCACAACCCTCCAGCACACCCCCCAGCACAATCTCTGGGTACTACCCCTCAGCACAGCCCCCGCACAACCCCCCAGCACAACCCCACAGCACAACCCCCAGCACACCCCCCAGCAATCGTCTCCAACAGAACCCCTTGCACAGCCCCCCGGCACAATCACCCAGCACAATCCCCCAAGCACAAGCCCCCAACACAATCCCCCATGACCAGCAGCGTACCCCCCAGCATGACTGCCCAGTACGACCGCAATGATTCGTGGTGCGTTGATTTGCTAGCCGAAACCCTGTTCCTTGTTTTGTTACGTGCCGCGTCGTGGGTCTGGTTCTTCTTTGGGAAACCTACTTTTGTTTTCTGCCCCGCCTCGGGGCTGCGATACCTACGCGGCAACCTAGAAGTCATGTTCCAAATCATAGTTTTTGAATTGCCTGTATAAGTGACTGGTTGCCCTTGTCAGCCCTGTCTCTGGTAGTACCTCTTAATACAGCATGTTTGAGACACTTGTGTATCGGCGTCTCTGTTCTCCGCCTTTCCTTCTCTCGGGTTCGGGTCTCCTCCTCGGTGGTAGTTTGGTGTGTTGGTCCTTGGTCTCCCTCATCCTCCTCCGTGCCTGCACGAGTGGTCTCGTTCGCCTGCTGCGCCCTTCGGTGGAATCGCCCCGGACGCCCGCCACTCAAAATTGGGGGGTGGTTTGGGATGCAGCAGGAGACGGCAGTGTTGGCACATGTCAGTCATCCCCAAGTCATTGAAGGCCGTTGCGTCTGCTCCGCTGCCGCGTCTGCTCTAGTTTTTTCCCAACCATCCTGTGGTGTTGGGTCCTCGTTTTGAAGAGACGGTGCCCCGCGTCTCCTTCTTTCCTCCTCCCCCTCGTCCCTCCTCCCCCATCCTGGCTTTTGCTCTCCGCATGTCTCTGTTTCGGCACACCCCTCACACGTTTCGTGGCCCCATAGGGAGCTCCACCCCAGGTCCCGGTGGCGGAACTCGCATGGCGCCGCCGCCCCATTTTGGCACACCCCTCACACGTTTCGTGGCCCCATAGGGAGCTCCACCTAAGGTCCCAGTGGCGGAACTCGCATGGCGCCGCCGCCCCATTTTGGCACACCCCTCACACGTTTCGTGGCCCCATAGGGAGCTCCACCCCAGGTCCCGTGGCACTCGCATGGCGCCGCCGCCCCATTTTGGCACACCCCTCACACGTTTCGTGGCCCCATAGGGAGCTCCACCCCAGGTCCCGGTGGCGGAACTCGCATGGCGCCGCCGCCCCATTTTGGCACACCCCTCACACGTTTCGTGGCCCCATAGGGAGCTCCACCTAGGGTCCCAGTGGCGGAACTCGCATGGCGCCGCCGCCCCATTTTGGCACACCCCTCACACGCTTCGTGGCCCCATAGGGAGCTCCACCTAAGGTCCCAGTGGCGGAACTCGCATGGCGCC